GGGCCGATACCGTGAGCACCTCCGTCTTGTCTGGATTCAGCTTCAATCAGCTCTACTATACTGATCCATATAAGACTGCATGTGTGCTGGGCAGGGGAGTCTTGCTACCAGAGGATGAATGTTTTTGTGCTTCTGAAAAACATAATGAAAGCAAAATAGTGCTGTACACCCCATTATGTTTATATTTAACTTGTTTTAAAAGAAGAATAAATAAAATTATTTAAATTTAAATGAATTGACATCATGTATGGCACTAAATGAAATGGAATCTAAAATTACAGATCCTTAACTGCTCTGTATTCAGTCATACAATGTATTCATAGAATCATAGAATCATAGAGTTGGAAGAGACAACAAGGGCCATCCAGTCCAACTCCATTCTGCCATGCAGAAATGAACTATCAAAGCACCCCCAACAGATGGCCATCCAGCCTCTATTTAAAGACCTCCAAAGAAGGGGACTCTACCACTCTCTGAGGGAGTGTCTTCCACTGTCAAACAGCTCTTTCTGTTAGGAAGTTGCTCCTAAAGTTTAGGTGAAATCTCTTTTCCTGTAGCTTGCATCCATTGTTCTTCATCTTATTCTCTGGAGCAGCAGAAAACAAGCTTGCTCCATCCTCAACATGACACTCTTTCAAATACTTAAACAGGGATATCATATCACCTCTTAACCATCTCTTCTCCAGGCTAAACATACACAGCTTGCTAAGTCACTCCTCATAGGTCTTTATGGTTTCCACACCTTTCAACATTTTGGTGGTACTCCTTTGGACACACTCCAGTTTGTCAACATCCTTTTTGAATTTTGGTGCCTGGAACTTGGTTTTGATACTATCGCCATAATCATAAATGTCTCCCGAATTGCATCTGAAACTAGGGAAACTTATTCTTCTTGAGGGCAGAAACAAGTAATTTTAGAAATTTTCTTCCTGCTGTGAGAAAGTCTTCAAAAACCCACACAGTTTTGAAATGCTATTGCAATTCAGGATTCTTTTATGCAAAAGTCACACATGACTGTTCTTCACAGAAAAAAAAATTGCACAAAAAATAGCTTTTTCTATTTAGAAAATAATTATTTCAATTGAGAAATAGCAATTGCTGCACAGAAAGTGCTGCTTTCTGCATGGACAATGTTGTTTTCTGCACACAACAACCGTGCACAAATTTTGTGCAGAATAACTCCCAAACTGCAAAGATTTTTGTCTGTCCATGATTCTTAACATGGTTTTCAATACTTGAAAAACACGTTTTTGAATATTATTTCTATCCCTATCTTAAACTCCAGAGAGATTCTCAGAGCGATGACAAATTGTTCTGTTGGAGACTGGGGTAAAGCAGAGAGACATTTCAAGATGTCTCCTACCAGCAAGCAAGGCTGCAATAATGTGAACAAGAACCCCTCTTGGAACGTCTTTCTACCACAGATGGCTGGTAGGAGGGATGTCTGGAAATATCTTGCTGTACCTCAATTGCCAGCAGAGCTGACCTCCATCATTTGGTGTGGCTACTGGTTGTTATGGAAGTTATAGGAGATCAGACCAAGTGACAATACTTAATCTTACATTTGTAACTAAGCAGACTGCCAGAAATAGTGCACATTAAATTGAGGCACTGCCCTGGCTTAGTGCTTGGGAATCATGGGAATTGTATTTTTTTCTGAGACATTGAGCCTTCTCTGTCAGAGAGCTCTGGTGTCACAATAAATTACAGTTCCCATGATTCCTTAGCACTGAGCCAGGGCAGTGCCTCAATTTAATGTGCACTATTTCTGGCAGTCTGCTTAGGCCCTAAATTGATGATGTTAGATCTTGATCATTATTATTATTCATAATATTATTGTCATCTGGTATCATGTTGCAAACCAAGCTAGTATCTTCTGAGTGAACAGGATACATGCCTAATAGCCTTTGTCAAAGATGGCACCTCGTTCAACATCTTTTTCTCCCGTATAGCCAAAATAAAGTGCTACACATGTATATATTTTCTTCTCCTTCTTCTTCTTTTGCCCTTCCAGAGCTGTAATGAGAACAAATGGAAGTGACCTTACATTGCAGGACACTCCTTATAGTGTTTGAATGAGATTTTCATTACACTGCAAATCTAGCAAGTGTACATTAGAACATCCATAAAGTCTTTGTGAAGGGCTTAATAGCTAAAGCAAGCTATTGAAATTAGCCCATCATTCTGTAATTGAACTCCCTTTCCATTGCTTACCCACACATAGTAAGATGTTTAGGATTTCATTTTAAAAGCAGAATAAATAAAAACAATGCAGAAGGATAGCTATAAAAACAATGCAGAAGGATAGCTTGTAAGTCCCACACGTGACCTTTACAGAGTCATGCGAAGGCCAAACTACATGTTCTGTTATTCACTCCTTCTTAATGGAAAGAAAAGGTATATTTAAACAAGCCAATTTTACACTGAAATAAAAGTGGCAGCAAGGCATCAATCCAGAACTTGTTCATGAGCCAGATTTGGACACTGCATGAATTTCCTGCTGAAATCGCCTTCTTCCTTGGCTGATATTTGTCTCTGCTCGTGTGTTGTCCCAGATCAGTCTCGGAATGTGGTTTACATTACTGTCTGGAGTTGTGCATGCACCTTTCCTGCATATTAGGTAGGTTATATGATGGCATATACAGTGGAACAATTAATACAATTGGTGATTTTGTCCACAGGTGGTGAAGATAACACTGGAGGGGAAGCAGACATGATTCAAGTTTGTTCCTATGGTAAGTCTTGGACTATAAGAACACAAAGAGGTGGGAAGGGAAACATGAAGAGCAAACAAGTTTATATGTTTAAACAAATGAGAATAGACTCTGCCATGAGTTTGAAATTGTGTGTAATTTAATTGGGTAATGTTAACGCTTGCTGTTTAGTTCTGACATCTGGATCTATAGCTGCTGAACAAAGGTTCTACAGAGTTTTAACTATTGAAGCCTGACTTTCTGACTTTGGTTCCTGCTGGACTTGACAATTACACAATCAAAGCTGCTGTCGCTTAAATTGCCCTGGCTCCATCCTCCATGCGGGTGATTTTTCCTTTTTTTCCTCAGAAGAATAATACTTATCTAAATTCTATTTTCAGTATCGCCAAGTTCTGTACAAGTTCAGTGTTCTTAGTGAGGTCTCATGGATTTGACTTGGAGCGAAAACTTCACAACTAACTGTCTTGGAATTCAGGAATGTGTTGCTCCTTTTGTTTGCCTTCAAAGATTTATAGCTTCCTACAAAAAGACCCATGTGCATATTTTTGCACATTTACACATGGCTTCCCAAACCAGGTTTAGAAAATTCCACCAGCACTTCCATCAATTTTAACAGGAGTGGTGGAAATTCCATTGTACAATAATGACAGCCTCTAAAGAAGGATGGAGGTTTCTTGTGGTTGTGGTTCAATAAGAACTCACTAAATCTTTCCATAGAGCCAGTGTAGCATAGTGGTTTGAGTGTTGGATTGTGATTCTGGAGACTGGGATTTGATTCCCAGCTCAGCCATGAAACTTATTGAGTGACTTTTGGCAAGTCACACTCTCTCAGCCTCAGGGAAAGACAATGGCAAACCCCTTCTGAACAATTCTTGCCAAGAAAACCCTATGATAGGTGGGCCTTATGGTTGCTATAAGTCAGAAACAGCTTGAAGGCACACAGCAAAAATAAAATATTTCCATAAAGGAATCCAGCTTTTTAAAAAATAAAGTGTAGGAAAAATTGCAACTAACAGATTCATCCATCCATTCAAAAATCTTTGAATGTGTAACTTTGTGAAATATAATTAGTTAAATTTTGACAAGAACATCTCCAGATTTGCATTATTCTACATAAATGAGACAAAAGGTAATTCAGGTTTGTATGTTGTGGTGGTGATTGTTGCTTAACATCTGTAGGCCAAAGTTAAACTGCCAAGCCCATCCATTCCTATCACTTTCTGCCTCTGAAAGCAAGAATTGTTTGTGTTTAGTTTTTAATGGTTGATCTTCTGCAAGTCACACACTCTCAGCTTCAGAGGATGACAATGTCAAACCTCCTCTGAAGAAATTTGCAAGGAAACCCCATTATAGATTTGCCTTAGGGTCGCCATAAGTCAAAAATGACTTGGAGGCACACAACAACAATAAGGATATATTTCAAGGAAGGAACTAGCAAAACCTCCTCTGAGTAATTCTTCCAAAGAAAACCCAATGAAATTTATGGGCTCACCATAAATCAAAAGATAACTTGAAAGCATATATGCAAGCATTGTAAAGCTTCCAGTGCTCAGAGAAAGCAGTAGTGTTGCACCTCTTATGCCACTGAAGACTTCATAGCAAGCAAGAGGAACATAGCTGGATCTGGGGTCTAATCTGGATTACAGAAATAATGCCATTTGACACATCTTTAACTATCATGCTCAATGCTATCGAACGTTGGGATTTGTAGTTTTGTGAAATATGTAACTTCTGGTACAATTCTCCATACCATGCAGCCATGGCAGTTAAAATGGTGTCAAACTGCATTATTTCTGCAGTGTAGATTAGACCTAAGAAGATAATTCAGGCCTGTTATTCTTTACACCAGAAAAATCAGTTTGTACTTCCTTTGTTATTTGCTTTTTCAATGTTTCTTTGTTATCTTTTTCCCACATTTTACCATTTAAAAATAAAAACATGAAGGTGTGATGAAGAAGCTTCTGAACCTGGAAAGCTAATGTGACAGATTTTGTGGGTCTTAAGCTGCTGCTACACTGCAGAAGTAACACCGCTTGAAACTGCTTTAACTTCCATGGCTCCATCATATGAAAATCTAGGATTTATACTTTGGTGATGCACCAGGGCTTTTTGACTGGAAAGATTAAATATCTCACAAAACTACATATCCCAGAATTCCAGAGGATTGAGTCATGGCCATTAAAGTGGTGACAATCTGCTTTATTTCTGCAGCTTTAATAACCACCATAATGTGGATTTGGGATTTTGTTTTATGGTCAAGATGGCTATCCCTGCAATTGTTTTTTGCTATCCCCTTATTACCCTCCTTCATCAAAATAACTTATTACTATGCTGCTTGTAACTTTTTTACTTCCAACCCTCTCTAGAACTTTGGCTTTATACACATCTCCTCTGAAACTATTGAGTATGACCTAACACTCCCCTTTACCCTTAAACCCTGCATATGCTAACCCAAAACACATATTCCTGATACTGATTGATTGATTGATTATTTATTTAATATCTAAATTGACCGTGATCCTTGTCTCAGTGCCCAGAGCCTCAGCTCCATCTTTACTCCCCACTCCCTCTCCTTTCTCCTTTCTGACTTGAGCTAATCACAACCAGGGTTTAAAATGCTCACCCATCAATGTCACAATCTGCAGTCAAGCACACCCTGTCCCCAAAGCGCAACCTTTTCAACATGATGGCTCATTAATAACTTAAAAAGGATGATGGCATGGATACTATTTATAGGGCTTTCTCAGGCAGGCCTGCCAAAGGAGGAGGAAATTAACATGGAAAAATTGTCAACTGGAAAACATTAGTGTTTATCAACAGATCAGTCAAGCTCCAGCTACTGTAAACTGTGCTTTTAGCTAAATAAAATGTATTAGCAGTGACAGTCATCGGGACGCCTCATTTCGTTATCCGGCTTCTTTAGCACCGGCGGCAATGGGATGGAAGACAGAGGGGTCCATGATCTTACATTTCCCATCATCCTTCCATACGCTCCCTTGACACCTGCCAAGTCCTCAACAGTCACTGCATTCTCCAGAACATACTGTTAGATCATTCATGAAGTGGAAATGCAGCACCAAATGCTTGTGAAGTCAATTAAGTGTTAATTAGCTTTGACTGAGGGGGCACAAGTCTCCAGCAAGCTAAATAAATGTCAACGGGATGGCGGCCAGTCGCAAAAATTTAAGTATGTGAATGTTGAATGATCCAGATGAATGTGTATGATTTAGAACATTTCTTTTGGAGGGGGGGGTGCAACATTGATTGCATTCCTTTATAATTCTTTTAACTACTCCTTCCTATAAATCTTTTTGAGAGTCATCAGAGCATAGGTTAGAAAGGAATCAGTGGATAAAGTCCAACACTTCTGCCTTGCAGCTGGATAAAATATAGTCCAATATATGCTCTTGTGGGCTTTAGTTAGCAATTTTTCTTCTGAAACTGCAACCTCAGTGAAGGTGGATAGGTGGGCAAGCTTCAGGTTCAGCAGATGGTCCCAATCCAAATCAGGACTCCATACTGTTGTCCTGTAAAAACTGCTGCTACCCTGGGTGCTAATTGA